TGTGCTCCAGTTTCTCCTCCTCCCCCGTCATCTGCTCAACTTGGGAGAAATCTTTGTTTCCCACACCACATGTGTTTATCGGCCCGGTTGGGGCATAAACTAACTACCTCAGGCTCCAAGGATGTTTGCTTGTCCCTTCCTGGAATGAAAGCCCATTCTCAATGTCTGTGTCAGGCTTTCGTCCACTCGACAGGAGAAAGAAGAGGCTTTCTGCTTCTTGAAGCCTTTCTGTCTCGGAAACCCACTGGGTCGATGCCCTCCATCGACTGATGGCAGTGTTTGTTCGTCGGTTTTTAATAAGTTATTGCAACGACACTATGTGTCAGGTACCCAGGTACCTCCCTGGACTTTCCTCCTTGCCGGTTTCCTCGGGTCCCCACAACTCGTGGCCTGAAGGTTGGAGATGTCACCAGCCCAGCACAGGTTACCTTCCAGCTGGGCCTGACCTTCCCCCCCAGAGCCTCATCAGGGCAAGGGGCCCAAGGTTGGTCCAACGTTGGCCAGGGGAGGGCCTGGGCTGGAGCTTAAGTACGTGTGTGCGGGCTGTAAACTCACCCGTCTTGTAACTAACCAGTTCACAAGACACCCCCAGTGGGTCAGTAGGGTCCGATAAGTGCTGGCTGCCCTCCAGGACTGCAGACTGTGGGCGAGGGCATGCACCTATGGGAGAGAGAGTGAGGACAGGCAGGGAGAGATGCCAGTTTTGTGTTGGCCATTTGACAGTTAAGATGACAAAGTGCACACAGCCCCCAGGTCAGAGGCCCTCCACAAGTGTCAAGTTCATGATAATTCTGCCAAATAGTGGGTGTCAGGGGAGCCAGCCCCTAACAAATCATCACAGGCCCAGCAGGCGCAATTGTACAGCGATATGAAGGAAAGATGACAGTAAAGTCAGAACATAAGAGAGATAGGAGAGTGACATAATGGAGTCAGACACATTTCATGGTAGCATGCTCACCTCAGCCCAGCTTGGTGGTCTATGTGAGGATGTGGAAGGTGGGAATTGCAGGAGCAAGCGAGAGTGGTTTATTACTAACCAAGGTTTATGTATCTTTTGGGTGATGTGCAAGGCCCCTAATTACAGGTAAATACATACTTCACAGGAAAGGGTTGAACTATAGGTAATATAGTAATGGGAGGGGGATGATCTAGGAGTATACATGCAATAGGAAGGGGAGGTATTGGGGGTACACGGGGGATGATCTAGGAGTATACATGCAATAGGAAGGGGAGGTATTGGGGGTACACGTGTGACAAGATGGGCGGATCCCAGATGCAGGATGACTGCCTAACTTTGGATGTCACTGAGCAGGTTTGACCTGTTCTCTGGCTCTCCATAGAGACCATTATCAGTAGGGTGTGAACCCCACCTACAGTGGACCAGACTGATGGCTGAAAGCCTTCAGGGAGAATATCTCTAAGCATCTGACTTCCCAC